GGGGGGGGGTGGAGGGACTTCCGTAACGAGCGACCACCCCAACAAACACAATAAAGAAGAGACCTAGATCTAACCCTAACCTTAACCCAAACCCTTACGCTACCCCTACCCCTAGATCTACCCCCAGTGGGTCGGGGGGGGGGGGATATAAATAGACCCACTGCTTCGTCTGCTGAAGGTGCAACCCCCTCAAAGGCGAAGTGTCGCACACGGACCCCGATCCTCTGAGATCCGTGTGCGACACCTACTTTGGTGAATCTTCCTCTTCTCCTTCCTTCTTTCTTTCTCCTTCTATCTTTCCTCCCACCGCTGACCTCATGTGCAGCAAAAAGAGAGGTCACCCATCCCACAGAGTGGGTGCCTCGTTGACCGTGAGGTGCGACCCGTGCGGAGGGAAACCGGGTACCTGGCGGTTGAGGTGAGATCAGTCCACGGACTGTCCTTCGCCAACACACCTCTTTGGCCCAGGTTTTCCTCTTAGACGGGAGGGTGGCACGGCCCATGCCACTCAATCAGTTGAGAGCTTAAACCCCATTAAGCCCTGGGTCAATCTTGACAGGAGGGTCTTGTACTTTCTCGTTGAGAGTATAGCTCCGGGGTAGCCCTGGCACAGCTCTGGTAATCCGAGCAAAGTGTCCCCTTGTTGGGCTCCGTGGCGGGCGGGGAGCCCCGGAGTGGAATAAAATAGAAAACTCTCATGGAATCCAAATCTAAAAAAGACCCTTCCCCAGCTCCCAACGTGAAGAAGTCTCGGCTCGCGGAAGCGTGTGCGGCCGCCGAGCCGAGCAAACAAATTCCTAAAGGAAAAAGGACTTTTACGACTGTCTCTACCCTCCCCCCTCTCAGGGAGTTTCCGTGGCAGCCGTACTTGATCATCCGCAGCACCGATGCGCAGAAGAAGATCACTGATCTAAACATATTCAAGACAGGAGATGCTCTAAGACAGGTTCTGGGATACATTCCTACGAATGTCCAAAAACTGTCCTCTGGTGCTCTCCTCATCAAGTGCGCATCGGATAAAGAACTGGCGGGACTTTCGGTGGTGTTCCTTGTGTTTCCGAGCGACACCAGAAGTAAACCAGTCGAAGGGCGTGGTCCGCAGCCATGAGCTGAAGGGCTGCTCAAACAAAGAAATTGTGAATAACTGTGAGGGTGTGGTCGAAGCCCGCCGAATTACTATTCGGCGGGGGGAGTCCACACTAGAAAAGAATACAATAATTCTAACTTTTGATTCGTGCCGCCCTCCAGCCACCGTTCGGGCATCGTACTTAGTCTTGGACGTGCGACCCTATGTGCCGAACCCTCTACGCTGCTTTCAGTGTCAGAAGTTTGGCCATAGTCAGTCCCGATGCCGACGTGCAGCCATGTGTCCTCGCTGCGGCAAGACTGGGCATCCTGAAAAGGAATGCAAGGCTAGTCCTTGCAGCCCAAATTGCCAAGGCCAGCACACAGCCTTCAGCAAGGATTGCCCTACTTGGATCAAAGAACGCGCAATCCAAGAGTATAAAGCACGAAATGGCTGCTCTTTTCAAGAAGCCCGTAAAGCTGTCTGCCCGCCAGGTATGACCCCGGTCCCTGGCCGGTCATACGCAAGCGTACTCCGGCCAGTCACAAAGTCAGCCAGTGCTTCCACTGTCGACCCCCCAGAACCCGCGGTCAACAAGCGACTTACTGCACAGAAACACAAAAAGATTCCTCCTAAAACTGTGGTACCCACCTTTCGGGTGTCAATGAATAACCGCTTTGGGGTTCTTGGGGAGGATGGGGTGGACTCTGTCTCCACCCCCCCCCCTTCTCCCCCTTGCCCCTCCTCTGTTACTTCGTCTTCTTCTTCTTCTTCTTCTTCTTCTTCCTCTACTACTACTTCCACCTCTCAACCCATCTATCTGATGGAGTGCGAGGTATTCCCTCCCCCCTCTCCCCAGCATCCTTCCCAACCCCCCCTCCTGTCTGCTCCACCTCCCCCTACCCCTCCATTCCCCCCACTACCAATGGAGGATGACATTTCCGATCCTCCTCCCCGGCCTGACCCCGGGAGGGGCGGAGTCTGTCACTCCTCCAGGTCCCCCGCTGGACCGCCATCCGATCCAGGACGGTAGCCTGGAAAACACTCTGCCTCTCCCGCAGGGAGGAGTCAGAGTGTTTCTTCGAAGCCGGGGCCAAATTAAAAACTAAAAAATCATATGGCGGTCTTGCAATGGAATGCCGGCGGAATCCGACCTTCCATTGCAGAATTGCACCATTTACAGGCCACACTGTGCCCACGGGTGGCCTGTATTCAAGAAACAAAATTCGCCCCGGCTTCAACCATGGACTTAAGAGGATTTGCTGCGTACCATCACATTCACACGGAGAACCAGATTGCTTCCGGTGGTACCA